AAACGGAATCCACATAGATGTCATAGTGTTGATTTTATTTTGAATGCCGACATGACTTACGTGGACTGATTCAATCTCATGATTCGTGTGTAAAATTGACGCCAATGCGAAGATGGGGGAGTTAATCGACTATCCCTTATCTAGGAATCAGTTTTTTTCGAATCTCTCTCTGTTGGTCATCTCATATGCTGTTGAATTCTAAGAATTTTTTTCGTTTGGTTTATCACGTAAAGAAGTTAAGACTATCTGGAATAATTCAACCCCCTTCTCCTGCAATTTACTAATTCACATATTCTGACCATTCATCGTCTTTATTGTTTCCCCTTATTTACCCCTAGACTTCTCAAAAAAGACAGTGTCATAGAACATTGAAGACTGTAAGTAGGGTTAGCGGTGTGTGTGTGTGTGTCTTTGACTCAACTAACTGACATTGTTATTATGGTTAGGCACTCGAATTCTCGCAAGCAGTTCGTTGAAGTTGTCTTGTCTGATCCCGAACATTCTCAAATTTCTTCGTGTTATCTCTTGGAAGTGAAACTTCTTAAGAATTTATGCTCGTACAGCTACTAAATATAAGACAATTCTACCATACCACCATATTTAGCAATGGGTTTTATATGAAAGGAGACAGTCAGATATCAGAAAGGATCTTATAAACCTTTTAAATCAGTAGTCACTGAACTGCAATATATAAGCAAACAATATTATTACGTGCATTACCTATGATGTTATCTATCTATTTATAATTCACTATGTTTTCACCAACTTTCTATTTATAGTCGTTTCATTTTTATTATTTTAAATTTTATGTGCACACATATTTATTTAAAAGGAGCTAAATTATTGCAATATGCATAAAAACGCTAAAAATTTCATTCTGTATAATTATTATTGTTATTATTGTTTGGAAATAAAGTGGTTTTTTCGTATCATTCCCTTGGGTTTCGAGGAGTGTACATAGGGCTTCAACAACACATCGCCATTTTGTTCTGTTTGAAACTGTCCTCTTCAACTGCCCATAATCTCTCTCATCTACTCCTCCACCTCACCACCACCACACACCACAAGATCTCCTCCATGTCACCCACACACCGATCACCCACACATCCCTTCTCATAGGAATTCCACTCGAGCGATGGCCTGCATTGCACGTAGTGGTGTATACTATACTGTATCCATCTCCATTTTCTCCACATATTTGTTGAGCGATTGACTCTTCGTTGGTTTGTTCGTCACCAGCCAGAGTTTCTTATGCTAATTTTTTCTGACCAAAAGGATTATTACAATATCATTATTTTAAAGTTAATCATTGTATTTCAGTCAAACTTTCACATACTTCACGAATACGACTTTTACATATATATCAAATGCAGTCGGAATTCGTTGGACCCAGTCAAATCTCTGTTTATGTTCAAAAGAAATTCATACAGACCCTTCATTATTATAGCTTATTCAAGTAGACAAACGCAGTTTTCTGATTGGTTGTTTTCGAGTTCCTCGGAAAGTGGAGCCATCTATCTGCGAATCATATTTGCCCACGTTTAAGTTTGCTGTGATTGGTTGATGAAACAGCCTTGTTCATATTTTCTCACGGCCCATATTAGTGACTTTGACGTAGATTAATGTCAACCAATTGGCTAGCAGGCTGCTCTCACCACACCCACAGTATGTATGACTAACTAAGTGACTAGATTTCAAGAAAAAACTTTGCTCAGAAGTACAACAATTCAAGACATCACACTGTATGTAGTACACAAAGGCATAAAAGAGAGAATCAAAGTGAACGGTAGCATGAAAAAGCATGAGTTTTTATCGCATCCTGAATGCATTTGAGCCATTGAGAATTACTTTTAGTCACACCACCAACAACAATCTCAAACCATTGGGTTCTTAGTATCCTGAGGTCATGACGAAACCACTAAACAGTCTACACACCATCCTACTTGGCTCCAAGACTTCGTGGAATAATGGCAGATTTAAATGAACTCAACCCTATGTCGACTAACATAGCGTGTCGTCAAAGGCGACGGCTTGGCATACACAACACGTATCCTAGGCATTACAATCCATAATTGTATAGAGTTTTACAAAACTTAGTTTTCTCCGCTATCATTATTACAACTACCATAATTTGACAGGATTATTTCACTTTATCATTTGATAAGGTGTTTATTGAACTCGTTACATAACTTTGTCTTGATTAAGCAATACTTTTTCACACTCCGAATACACACAGTGTAATTTATACCAGGAAGTATCTGAGTCATAATTTGTTTCAGAACTTTTCAAACATACTCCCTTTTTTCTTAAATATGATGTTGTAGAGTGTGAAATGTTTCAACTAACTTATCTAATTGCCTGAGTCATATTCACTCATATTGATTATTATTTTGTTATTATATTACATGAATAAATGCCTAGCCAATTAGTGCATGAATCGAAAACTTCAAAAAAGAAGAAAATTAAATTAAATTTATGCATGCGGAAAATCACAAAGGGAGAAAATGACTACTATACCGCCTCTTTTTAACCGTTGACATGAAAATAACAGAGACGACTGTATGACAATAACTATATATATCTCGAAATAATCAATAGCCGGCTAGATAGTGATTCATTCAATAGATCTGACCTAAAGATAGAACGTATATATATATATATATACGTGTTTTATTATAGCTTGATTCCACACAATACTTTTTGGTAGAAGTATGGAATTTTTAGCATGTGATATCGGTAGTCCAAATTTTGCATGCCAACCATAGATATCAGGTGTGCGTTGGCAGAAGATCAAACCTTGGACCATGTGGATGGTAGGCGAGAGTCTTAACCACCATGCCACCAACGCATATATATATATATATATACATAAGTTTTGATTTAAATATAGGTGTGTAAGCTTTTGGGCTTTTCTCCTTATATGAGTTGAAGTTGCCAGCTCACGCTCAACCATCCTTCTTTTTCAAACTTACTGCCAGTTAGTAGACCTAATAATGTTCTGAGGAGATTCGAGCAGTAGTCACACATCCGTATCACGTGCGTCATTTGAGAGCATTCCGCCATTGAACCACTGACACATTCGTAGAGCTACAGCTGGACATCATGTATTGATCATTTTTCAACGTAGAACTTTGCACCGATATGCAGCAGTTTAAGTCCTTACATTCCTTTCATGTTGCCCATAAAGCAAGAGAAGAGAGTAAAGAGAGTTTCAAAATAGAGAGAGTGAGAGATAGTTTACACGAGTGTAAGTGACGGAAAAAGCATAGTAATGTGGAAAAACAATCGATCTCTGTTGATTCTACCCTTTCCTTAAATGTTACTCTTAGATATTGTGAGAAACAGCGAAAGGTTGAGATGTGAATATAACATCACAGACAAAATACCGCATGCCACAGACTTAGGCTTAACAACGCAACCAAGCAATATACTTTGGAATCCTTATGAATCATTTAGAAGTCACCTTGTCAACCTTAACCAACGAAATTCCGACACTTCTCTGCAGGACATAAAAAACATTTACCCGGAGGTGGAAGAGTTTTTTTGTCAAATGAACCTCAGACTACATCACGAATACGGTCTGCTTCTATGAATCATTTATTTTTTTTGTATTAATGTTAGTATTCTCATCTAACTTCTGTACGTACAAATTCATAAATATAAGAGCGATTTGCGTCTTATCCACTAAACACATCAGCCAGTCGAAGGTTACCGGTTCCCTTTTTTATTCCTTAATGTTCCCAGTGAAATATAGGATGGCTTTAAGCTAGAGACTTGAAGTTTCGGTAGCAGTAGTGTATATTTTTACGGAATGGAGTTGATAACCTCACATGACCAACCTTCCGACGCACGACGCACTAGTATGACTGGTTCCTAACATATCCTGAATAAACCTGACTAATTGACCAAATCTTTTGTACCACACAAACGCTTGATGGATTTATTACCTAGCTCGAATTGGATACTGGTAATGGCAACGATATATATGGTGCTGAATAATGGTTAGTTTTAGAACTTCTTAATTATATCCAGTGAGTCGGTGGCACAGCGGTAGAATTGTCGCCAACCACACCTCATTTGGTTCGGCATTCAATTCCCGACCACCGACGCGCTCCTTTACCTCGCTAAGCCGGTAGTAATAAGACTAGTAAACAGGAAAAGTTGGGCATGTGGCTGGCTAGCAACCCTATTCCGAAAATATAAATAAACATCACTGCTACCGAAACTTCAAGTTTATAGCTTGAAGCCGTCCTATGTTCCGGTAACAATATAAAGGAATAAAAAGAAAATAAATAACATTCATAAAAAGAAAATGAATTCAAGTGTTGGTTTGTAGAGATTTGATTGGTTTCAGGATTTCATCATGAACTGACAGTAGTTAGAGAACCATTGGAAAACCTGGGAGTACTGGACAGCTGTTTCGTCAGCCTAGTTTGGGACTCTTCAGCAGTATGCACCCACCGGGATTCGAACCCAGGACCTTCCGGTTACAAGGCGAGCTCGTATACCATTAAGCCACTGGGACCCGATCCAATGGCCAGCCGATGAATTCTAACTTCTGCGAATTCACGACATAGCGCGACCGCTAGTCAATGTCTTCGGAGAGTATTTATCCTCACACCCGACCAGCTGCACCCTACTGGTCACGATTTCCTACTAGAACCCCAGGTAACTACCCACCTGAATCGGGTCCCAGTGGCTTAATGATATACGAGCTCACCTTGTAACCGGAAGGTCCTGGGTTCGAATCCCGGTGGGTGCGTACTGCTGAAGAGTCCCAAACTAGTACGAAACAGCTGTCCAGTACTCCCTGGTGGTTTTCCAATGGTTCTGTAACTACTGTCAGTTCATGATGAAATCCAGAAAATAAATTGTTGTAAAAAACGCTCGAAATTCCCTTCTTCTTAATTATTATTGTTGTTTGGAATAAAGTGGTCATTATTATTATTATTATTATTGTTAACCTCCTACCCCCTTTATCTTTATGTTTTATTTATTAGGGACTGGAGAAAACCGCAATTTCTAACACTAATAATAACAATAATAGTAATATTAATAATGAGAACTATGATTCTACTAAAACCTCCAACTTGCCACCTCCGCGTGTAAATAATGCTAGTCCCATATGTTTGAATAAACCACCAAGTCCACGTCTTCCAACCAACTTGTCCTCATCTCCTCATTCACACACATTACACACACAGTCATCAACTTATTATTGGACAGGAAATCCTACTGGTCCAACATTCTCTTCTTCCAATCAAATTTCAAATATCTCTCAAGGATCAGCTTATCCGCATTCGCCATCATCATCAACGTCACCACTAACGACGACGTCAACAACAACAACCTCAACGCTGATAAATAATGGTAGCAACAGTATCAATCCTACAAATCCGTCATATGCTGCAAAACCTCCTGGATATAATTCCGTGTCATCAACACGTTTATTGAATAGAACAACAGATATTCCTGTGACTGAAAATGGGAGCAGAGGAAATGTTTGTGTTAAAAAGACTATCTCACAGAAACCGTCAAATCATGTGTCTTTCAACTTACATAATCCACAAGGTAAGTTATCATTTATGCTTCTTATACAATTGTTGTTGTTATTTGTCATTGTTTCCTTTAGTTCTTGGAGGAACATAGGGGGCTTCAGCCACATGTCTCTATTGCGTTCAGTTCTCCACCAGTTTTCACATGTCTTCACACGTCTGCCCGTATGTTTTTATCTCCTCTTCGCATTACCTCCTCGTCCATGTCACCTCATCCTCACACTGACGGCCAGCTCAACGCTCCCCGTTCAGGTTCCACTTGAACTGTGGTCTGGAATGCGATGTCACTCACTTGATGGTTTGTTTTCTCAGAGTATGATCAATCCAATCCACCTCAACTTCTTCTTGCATATTTGTTGCACAGTTAGTTCCTGCTGTGTTGGTTCTTTCATTGTCAGATATCCTTGTCGCTGATTATTTCTAGCCGGCCATCTGATCTTGGGTAATATTGAGATAAGACAGCTGTTGATGAAGGTCTGTAGTTTATTCGACGTCGCCTTCCTTACGCGCTGGCCAAGTCTCTGATCCGTATAGTAGGTAGAACTGACTTCACATTGGAGTTGAAAATCCGGAACTTATTTTCGTTTTCATGCTGAGTGCTATTGACCTCCACACAATGTCTCATATATATGAACTTAAAATTTAAGTGTTGGTTTACAGGGATTTGATTGGTTACAGGATTTCAACATGAACTGACATCTGTTAGACTAACATTGTAAACCCAGCCATGGAGTACTTGAGAGATGTTTCGTCCATTTAATTTGGAACTGTTCAGTTGTACACACCCGTCACCGAGATTCGTACCCGCTGCCTTCTAGTTACATGGCAAGATTGTAGAAAATTCAGCCACTGGAACCCAATCCAATAGTCCATGAATTGGAACTTCTGCCGATTTATGATATGGCGCGACCACTAGCGAATGTCATTAGTGAGTATTTTTCTGCAAACCCGACCTGATGTACCCCATGATGATGAAATCCTGAAACCAATCAAATCCCTGCATACCAACCACTTGAATATCAATCTGAAGCTCACTGGTAACTGGTCCTATTCAGATAGGTAATAGATACCTGGGTTCTGGTGAGATGTTGTAACCAGTGGGGTACAACAGGTCAGATGTGAGGGCAGATACTCTCCAGCGATAACATTGGCTAGTGCCAGTCACGCTACATCGTGAATTGGCAGAAGTCGGAATTCATGGACTGGCTAATATGATCAAGTCTCAGTGGCCTAATGGTCTACGAGCTAGCTCGCCTTGTAACCAAAAGGTCGTGGGTTCTATCCGTGGCGGTGGGTGCATACTGATGAAAAGTACTGCCTGGCTAGTTTTCCAATGGTCCTCTAACCGATTTCATTTCATGATGAAATCCTGAAGTAAAATTGCCTCGTTTTCCTTTTCGTAATCCTTCTGAGTATAGTAGTTTGTTTGTCTGTCAAACTAAGATATATATATTGTGTTCATCTTGTTGACTTTTAATATTTCCAACAACGACAACAAGCACCAATGACAATCACTGGGAGATATTTGAAGCAGATCATCACTATCGCTTACATAGGCAGCATCATTTCAATTAAAGATAGGAGGGACCGATGAGGACGTCAAAGTCAGTTAGACAGTATCAGAAAAGCAAGATAGACATTCATTTGTCTGAAATTAGTCTGAAAATCTACTGCACACCATTTGGTGAATAAGACTCTTATTTCCGACAATAGTGCCACACACACTTACTTCACAATTACTCAGATTATTCAATGACGCATATACGAATATTGAGTTTACTATGGAACATGAAAGCGACGGAAATTTCCACTTCCTCGACATTGCCATGGAACGCCCAAAAAAGACAGTAGTCTTCAGAAGTCAATTTATCGAAAACCTACATGGAAATGACATTACTTACATTTTAATAGTTTTTGTCCAAATAGCTTTAAACGCGGAGTAGTCAAGACTCTGTACTATAGAGCGACGAGAATATGCTCTACAGAGAAATTCGAGGAAGAATTGGACTTTCTTGAAAGGATGTTGAAGAGCAATGAGTACCTTCAAAGGTTCATCAACAAAGTATGGAAGATCTGAAGTCACAAATGTAAAACAAATCACAGTGGGTAAAAAGCACTCTACATTCAACTTGATTATATAGGTGAAAAAATTGCAGCAATGATCAGCAAAAGGCTGAGTACATCACTAGCCATAGCCTATCCTGCAGCAAAGCTCATCCCCGTCTATGGAACAACTTGTTCTTTGGTGCAATCAAAAATCGATAGATACCCTTCTCATGTTAATGCCAACAGTATATACACATTTACATGTATCTGCGAGATCAGTTTCATTGGAAGGACATAAGAAGAAGGGCATATCAACGATTTTCTGAACATGTATCAAAAAGCTTATATCTAAGGGGAACAAATGCTTTAAACAGTGCCATCGCCAGTCAACTCCTTGACAGGTGTTATGAGGTGGACATCGAAAAGTCGTTCAAAATTAACAATAGACAAAAGAGCTAAATTCACCTCACGTTTGATGAAGTCATTTCCATGAAGCTCTTGAAACTTGTTTTTTGCGTTCAGAAAGAAACAGTAATCAGTCTTTCTTTGCTCACCCTGAAAACTGGATATTTTCACCTGTCTTTCATCTGATTATGTAGTGTCGAAAGTTTCTATTTTGTATGATTATTTTTGTTTGGAACAGTGTTTAACATTACATATATATATTAATTGATTGATTTTTGTTTAAAATGAACTCTGTGCAAGTATGTTAAAATTGTTGTTGTAGACATGTTTAATAATGTCTCTGGGCTGTTAGCAGTTGACGAGAAGGCAATGAAATAAAAGACGGTGCCACGTTATTCTGAAAAAAAAACTGTAGTTCTTGCTTTGTTCAAATAGTGCCATTGGCACGGTAGAAGTAGTGTAAGACTTGGTAAAAGAATGTTTATGGACAATTAGGTATCTGTATATTAGCTAGCGAAATTATGTACACCACCTTATCTTCAACGCACCATGTGCACAAATCTTCCGTGTTGTGCCCGCTACTTCTCACCCTCCTTCATATTGTCTTTCTTGGTGTTCCTTTCAATCATATATCCCATGCTTGTGCACAAAGCTGTATCATTTGCTTTCTCTGATATTAAATCTCTCTCTCTCTTCCTTCTATTTAATGCTTTTTATGCCAATGAACATCTCTTTATATGCATATACACTACTGATAAATGTTATTAGTAGTACACGCCACATTATGTCAATGCTTCTATGTGCTTCAGTGATATGGCATGTACACTACTACATCAAGTATTTCCAAAAGGCTACCATAGAGTTTCATCAGCAGTTGCCTTTCCTAGCTTGATAATGAAGTTCATGCGATCAGATAGAAAGGGTAAGTGTCAAAGAAACTCTGGTGACAAGCGAACCAAGAACGTGTGTTACCCAATAAAACAAACCTAAGAAAGTGGAAATGAGTAAGAAATGCTCTGAAGAGACTGTCGAGTGACATCCCCCGCTCCAGAAGGCACTCGGGTGGAACCTGAATGCTGAACGACGAATTGGACGGAAGTCCGACGGTGGCATGTAGGAGATTTGGGTGAGGAGGGAGATGTTAGCTGCTTATGGGCAATCGTGGAGTTAGCTAGATGGAAAAGACTGAAGGAGATATGATTATAATGATGACGTCCTCTCCAAGCCCGATGTCCTGCTTGAAATCCAAGAGGATAGTAATATTCAATAAAAAATTCTAATTTGCTTCTACGTCAGCTTTATTGTATGGTAAATAGTATTATTATTATTATTATTTATATTATTATTCCCTTGGGTGAAGAGTTCATTAGAAATGTTTCGAACTACTTTGGGACTCTTCAGCAATACACGCGTAGAAGATTGAACTTAGGGCTTTCAGGTCATAAGTCGAATAAAATGCTTTCTTTAAAACAGAATAATTTCCACTACAAAAGTTAAAAATGTTACAAGTGATTGGAAAATCACTAAAAATATCCGAAGGTATACCATCATCAGTAAATATCATAAAACTGATATAAGGAACATTATATACCTGATGATTACTAGATATCTGTAAAATGATTTTAAAGCATGTGTTTGTGTACCTTGTGACTGATGTGTTTTTTGTTTTGTTTTTCTTTGCTTGATAAGTGTACTATTGGTTAACTGGAAAACAAAACAGTGTTGTCTTTATTTTTTTGTAAACAACAGTTTTCCCGTTGTGTGCGTGTACTAACTGCTGAAGAGTCCAGGACTAGATGGACGAAATAGTTGGCTATCTAGTAGTCCCAGCTGGTTTTTCAATGGTTCTTTTAACCGATGTCAGCTTATGATGAAGTCCTGCAACCATCTTTCCTTTGAATTTCATTCAAGTGACCAATTAAGTGGAGAGAAAATTTGCCTTTTATTCCTTTGAATCTTTTGTAATAAGGATGTTAGACGTCATCAAAGTTTTGATGAAATCTTCTCTAAGAACAAATGACTGAATACACTGAATACACACACATATATATATGATAGTAATATCTCTGTGTTTCCTTAACTTCTTCATAGTGTAGTCCTTATCAACAAACAGGAAAGTGAAGTTATTTCAGTCGTCTGTATGAATGATATAATCGATGATCTTAAAGTTGTGATTGGCTGTTAAAATTTGCATCAGTACAAGAAGCCGACATGTCAAACTGAGACCGAGCACTTCGGTCCAATCAATCGACGGGGAAATCAAGAATTCAATTCAGTATTGAATTACGTCTAATCATTTATCATAAAGAAGAATAGGGAGAACTGTTGTGCAAGACATACTTCCTATCATCAACAGCCGGATATCACATTTACGCCAAATAATGATGCAAGTTGGTAAATGACAAATAAGCGTTTTCTTATCCGTGATAACATTACATTAAAAATGTTAAGGCACTCCTCAGGCATAACTCAACTCCTCCTCCTCTTACAGTCTGTCAACTCGTGCATCTTACCTATTCTTCTCTAGTGTTCACCCCTTCTTATTCTTTCCTGGATTGCTTAGAA